CATGCCTAACAAATGTATGGATGAAAATAATAGTACTATTATTTTGTCTATTTTTAAAAACTGTATATAATTTTTGAAAATTAAAAATTCGCGGAATACTTTTTTTAAAAAAAAATTAAAAAATGTTTTTTATTCAGTTTTTGCGAAGATACAAATTTTTCAAATTGCAATAAAAATTTTATTTATGAATATTTTTTGATGAAGTTTTACAGTTAGGTTGATTTTTTACTCAAAATCCAAAATTAAATAAAAATTTCGAATTTTCTTATTAGAAATCCCGGAATTCCCAAAAAAGTTTTAAAAAATCCCAAAAATGGGATTTTTTGGTTTTTTGCCTATTATATCCATACCAGGGGCGGGGTTATCGAAACCCGTTACAAAATGATTAAGAACATATTGGGTCATATAAAACAGGTCACTATAATTTGATATCGACTATGCGATTTGAAAATTTTGCTCAAAATTGAATTTTCCATAAAAATAGGGTTTTTTTGGATGGACTTGGTCCCCTCGGTATCAAACATTTTTAGGTTTTGTTTCATTTATCGTATTTTATGTAAAGTCAGCTTTCCAAAAAGTATAAATTCTATATACATCTTCTTAGAAACTTTTTAGATAACTTAAAAAGAAAAAGATACTTTTTTCCCAAAAAAAATGACAAAAAATCGCCTTTTTTAAATTTTTTAAATTAAAATGGCTATAACTTTGGACTCAGTTATGATTTTTACATAATTCTTTCACTGCTTGATATATAAACTTGTTGTTAAGCGAATAAAAAAAATGGCGAAAATCGGGAATATTTGGACCCGCTATTATCAAAAAACTAAAGTAAGGACGGTAAAAATTTTAAAAGTTTAATTTTCAAATGCGAATATCTCCTAAACTATAAGAGATAATTTACTGCTACAAAATGTCAATATTATTCTAAAGGCGATAAACAGCAAGCATGAAGTGAACGCAACAAAATTTGGAGAGCATTCTACAAAAGTTTCTAAATTACTTTTGGAATTATATCCCTGGAAAGAAATGACACCTACAGTTCACAAGATATTATGTCATGGAAAGGTCATCATAGAACATAATATTCTGCCTTTAGGAGAGCTTACAGAAGAACCCCAAGAATCGAGGAATAGAGACTTTAAGCATATTCATCAGTTTAGCTCAGGGAAGTGTTCTAGGCAGTCTCAAAATGAAGATATTTTTAATAATCTGATTCTATCTTCTGATCTTGTTTTATCTACTATAAGGAAACGTTGGATTTGCTACAAAACGTTAGCATTTGAAATATTCATGAATTTAAAGATTTACTTTATCTTTTAGATATGGACTACTGTGATACCGATTATTTTACAAAATTATATTAATTTATAAAAAAAATAAATAAAGACTATTTTTATATAAAATAAATACTTGTTAATTTTTTTAGGGATAAAGAATAAAAGATTAATCGTAAAAAGTGGCTGTAAAAATTCATAAAAATTGAGGTAGTAAAACATGCCTAACAAATGTATGGATGAAAATAATAGTACTAGGTAAATTCTCTAAAAGATATTGAGTTTTCCCTAATTAATTTGTCACTTAAAAAACAATAGGTAGGCATGTTATATATGAATGGAGAGGTAATTTTGTCTATTTTTCAAAACTGTTTATAATTTTTGAAAATTAAAAAATTCGCGGAATACTTTTTTTAAAAAAATTAAAAAATGTTTTTTATTCAGTTTTTGCGAAGATACAAATTTTTCAAATTGCAATAAAAATTTATGAATATTTTTTGATGAAATTTTACAGTTAGGTAGATTTTTTTACTCAAAATCCAAAATTAAATAAAAATTTCGAATGTTCTTATTAGAAATCCCGGAATTCCCAAAAAAGTTTTAAAAAATCCCAAAAATGGGATTTTTTGGTTTTTTGCCTATTATATCCATACCAGGGGCGGGGTTATCGAAACCCGTTACAAAATGATTAAGAACATATTGGGTCATATAAAACAGGTCACTGTAATTTGATATCGACTATGCGATTTGAGAATTTGTGCTCAAAATTGAATTTTCCATAAAAATAGGGTTTTTTTTGGATGGACCTGGTCCCCTCGGTATCACAAATTTTTAGGTTTTGTTTCATTTATCGTATTTTATGTAAAGTCAGCTTTCCAAAAAGTATAAATTCTATATACATCTTCTTAGAAGCTTTTTAGATAACTTAAAAAGAAAAAGATACTTTTTTCCCAAAAAAATGGCAAAAAATCTCCTTTTTTTAATTTTTTAAATTAAAATGCCTATAACTTTGGACTCAGTCATGATTTTTACATAATTCTTTCACTGCTTGATATATAAACTTGGTGTTAAGCGCTATTATCAAAAAACTAAAGTAAGGACGGTAAAAATTTTAAAATTTTAATTTTCAAATGCGAATATCTGCTAAACTATAAGAGATAATTTACTGCTACGACGACATTTTTTATAGTGCTCGATGAGGAGATTCTATATATTTTTAAATCGGAACTCAAATGAAGAAATAGGATCGTTTTAAAAATTTAACATAGCCGAGGTGTCCTAATTTATGGACCCCCGCCGGGCCCCTGGTTGGCCTATAAGGTCCAAATTCAAAACCTAAACTCGACAACACCTCCTCTTTGTGCATACCAAATTTCATTAAAATCGGATTAACCGTTTAGAAGTTACCGAATTATTTCCCTCTTTTTTTTTCCTATACCACTGTGCCTTCATTACATCTATTTTTGCCCATTTTTATATCGAAAATTTGTTGAATTTTATTGATATTTTATGCATTTAACAGAATTTAAAACTGCTTAAAATACATTCCTAATCACAATTGGGATGCAGATATTTAAATTCGATTACAACCAAGGTACCCTTTCAGATAAAATTTTTATAATAAGATAAAATTTTTATTGCAAATGCATATTGGTTGCATTTTATACATTTTACTCCATGTTTAACGTATCTTGTAAGTGCATTATTGATAAATTTATATAGAATAAAAATATATATTTTTTTATGTGCATTTGAACTAGCTTAAACTAAAAAATAGTAATTTTCAAAATATCGCGAAAAATGATGATTGCATATTCGTTTAATAAAAAAAATTATATATAATATAAAAAATAGCAAGTTTTGATTTATGATATTTTAAAATACTTTCAACAGGGAGAACAATTTGGAAAACGCTCTCAAGGTGCACTTGCATCAAAAATGCATCTATCTTAAAAAATATTATTTAGAAATGCATTTTTATGAAAGGTACATTAGTGGAAATCGAATTTAAATATTTGCATCCCAATTCTGATCAGTAATGTATTTTAAGTAGTAAAATCAGTTAATTTCTTAAAATATCAATAAAATTTAAAAATTTTCCAATATAAAACATTTTAAAAAATCGAAAAAAATGGATGTAATGAACGTCACAAAAAAAAATATTTTTATAAATTGCATAAAAAGCTTCAACTTTTAAAAAAATTTTAAACAGGGAGAACGATTTCAAAAATGCATTCAAAAAGTGCATTTCCATAAATAATGCACTATCTTAAACTTTTTAACATAAAAATTATATTAGAATGAAAGAGCTCATCCACAGTAATAGATTGGGTTCTAAATCAAAAAAATCCGATATAAATTGTCATAGATATAAAGGTTCAAAGTTTTATACCTTTTTGATTTTTTTGCAGATTTCGAACAAATTAAAATCGCATTTCCTGAAATTTTTAAGAATTTAACGTTGATATGTCTTATGTGTCTAATTCATATTTGATCGGTCAATTCATATTTGATTTCTCATGGAATTCATGACAAGGTTTTGTTTGTGGGTATATAAGATCAGAATTCAGAATCCCGCTTTTTCAAAATATTTTTTTCCAAATCCCTCATTTTAATCATTCGGATCCCGCTTTTATTCAAAAACCATCTGGTCACGTTGTATATATATACCTATAAAAATTTATCAATATTTGACTTAACATGAAATCTATCGCTTCTTTGATTTTATTTCGAAAATAATAAGTAATTTTGAATTGGATACATGGTATATTAGAAAATCAATGGATTTGGACCTAGAAAAAATGCTTAGTGGGGTATAAATCTATATATTATAACAAAATAATCTGGGTTTTTGGTCATTTTGTATTGATAAACAAAAATTACATTACGAAATCGCCATCTATTTGGGGAGTACTGTGTGAATTTTATTTAGAATTGTATAATATTGATTCTTATTCAATAAAGCTAACACTTAGTATCATCCTAGCCACTCTAAGTATGGAGACATCACCATATACCACTGTGGAACTATTACATGCTAAAATCTTAATGTTCTACCGCATATTTTGAATGCTTTATTTTATGAATAAATTACAGAAGGCGTATTTGGATCTGAATAGTTATTTCGATTTGGGTTCTAAATATGTATAAATGTATTTATTAGCTGATATAACCAACTCTATTTTTAAATATCTAAATTAAGTATATTTCCTGTACCACACGACAGTTCACGGTTCATGATTTTTGAAAATTACAATTGAAGAATATTTAACACGTGTTCTTTTAACAGTAAACAATTAAATCCAAAAAAATAATTTAAAAAACCCAACGAAATTAAATGGAATTCTAAAAATGCAAATTTCTTTATTGACCTGCAAATTCTGACGAAAAATAATAAAATGCAACAACAAATGCTCCAAAATTTGTATTTTAATATTTTTTAGTTTTCCCATTTTACACAATCTCTATTTTCAAAAAATCTCTATTGAAAAATTTACTTTTTACCTGTTTTTTAAATTTTATTTGTGAACAAAAAACAACATTTTCTTAAAAAAGAGATAGACAAAAAGTTTAGTTGATTCACTGTATGTATATTTCAAATTGAAAATGAGTCATTGGTGTACCATTGTACTTTTTAAATTTAATTGTACAAAAAAAGTACAATTGTACCAATTTTGCCAACCCAGAATACATCTAATAATTTTTATATATATGTATATTTTTTAGAATGGCGATTAAAAAATGGATTTTATCAATAGCTATATTAATTGGAATTACAACAATAATAGAAGCCAAATTTGGAGATAAATTAAGCATAAAAGAGAAGGATTTGATGCAGAAAGCCATTGTTTTTGATAAAAAAACACCAGATTTATTTTATTGTCCAACACAGAAACCATCTGCGATGAACAAACTTATCGTTCGGTAAATATATTTCATAAATTAAATTAAAAATTCGAACTGAAGTAATTATTTTAGGAAATGTAAGTAAATGATGAAACAGAACATGACCGTGCGTTATATACAGTGTCGGACAAAACTAAAGCACGAACTTTTACTTGTTAGAAAAAAGCTTAGTAAAATTAAAAAAAAAATATATTTTGTAATAAAAATTATTAGTTATAGCCTAAAATTGTAGCGACAAAATTAAACGGGAGGACCAGTGTCGAATTCGGATATTACAAATGGTTCTATTACTTTAACAAGGTCCATGGCAATTCTATTACTATAAAATATTATGTCCAGAACTATTGACGAACTACAAAAAGTCATATTGAAGTAAAAACGCCTTTTTGCCTAAAAATTCAAACTGGCTGGAATTGATTTGACAGAGGGGCACTTGGACCGAAATTTATTACAATGAACGTTTTTCTGATGAATCGAAGCTAAATTAAAATGATTTTGATGAATTAAAGTTAGAACATGGGCAGGTACCTAGTGTAATTATCGGTATACTGTAGGTAAAATAAGGTCTTGGGATGTTTTCCACGTAATGGGATCGGGAAATTTTATAAATATAATATAAATATATATAAATGAATGAAATAAGGGATAATTTTATGTATGAAAATGTCTTGCACAATGTAAAGCTGTACTATACAGTGGACATAATGCATTTAAAATGTAGAGATTAACAGGAAAACGATTACACTGTGTGACACTCAAAACACTCATTACGCGATATAATGCTTTTTATAGACCTAGATAGGTAGATCATTTTACCATTTTTAGAAAATGTCTTGCACAATGTAAAGCTGTACTATACAGTGCACAGTGGGGCAGAATGGAAATTTTTTGGAAATAAATCTGGCATTTCTAAACGACTGATCCGATCGGGATAAAATTTGGTGTGAGCGTAGCCAAGGAGTATTCGAGTTTAAGTTTTGAAGATGAACCCTGCAGATGCCCCAGGGACGGCGCTGTGGCGGCTCAAAGTAGGGTACCTACGACATGTAAAATTTTTAAACTCGTGCCATTTTTTTGTTTTTCACCCAAATACAAAGATTTTTATATTTTGTGAAAGCGCTCGACGAGATCTTGAAAAAACATGCTTGGACATACTACTTATCTCTTATAATATCCGAGTTATAGGCATATAAAAATTTAGTGATACAAAATTTACCATACCTTGGTCCGCCTTTTTTTGAATACCGGGCGTAATTAGTTAGACAACAAAATTTCCAATAATATACAAAAAATTTCAGATCAATATTGTTTACAGATCCAAAAATATACGTTTTTTAATTTAAAAATTCAAAAAATTTTAGATTTTTGCCATTTTTTTGCCAAAAATGTGTCTTAACTCTTTTATTAATAAAATAAAATTTTTATTAAGAACATATAACAATTTTATAGTTTTCTAAAAGGTATCTTTACGCAGAACGCTTTGGCGTAAAAACTTGTCCTATTTTTTGAAAATGTTGCCACTGCGTCCTTGCGAATATGACCTATTTTTTATCAAAACTTCAACTTTGGGCGACATGTTCTAAAATCCCAAAGCTGGGATCAGAAAACTGAAAGCAGTTTTGGAAACCTCAATATGTTTTCTATTTACTCCAAAAGTATTTTCCCAGCCCTGAAAGAAATGTGGACCCTATGGGCAAAAAGTAAAAAATCCCATTTTTGGGATTTTCATTCCTATTTTTGGGAATTGCGGGATGCCCTTTGACCTTTTCAATTTTTTTTTTGCATATTCTTATTTGAAATGACAAATTTAACAAGCGTTGAAAATTTCATTGAGTTTTGTTCATAAATAAAGATTTTGTCATATATTACATATTTGTTTAATTTCTAAAACTATGATTTATATCAAAATTTTAATAGGATCGCAGATAGCTACAACAATTTAGTCCATATTTATCCCTTAATATCATTTTTTAGTTAGATATGGAAATTCTCGACCCTTTACAAAAAATTTCAAGCCAATATCTCAATTACATTCAAAAATATGTTCATTTAAACCTGTGTCCTTTAATTTCATCTTTTTCATATTTTAGTATTAAGTATGACAGAACATACATTTGGTGTTGAATAAAATATTTGGACAATTTTAAAAATTATTTAGTTAATTATTTTATTATAATATTGTATATAAAATAAAAAAATTATAATTTTATTATGAGCCACGCACAACAACACCTAAATCACCCCACACAAATTACCTTTCCCGCCCACCGAAATATAAAACACAATTTAATACAATATCATCAGTTAGTATAATAGCTTTTTTTATTTGAACTGTTTATCTTAAACATAATACAATTAATTCTTACAACCTACTTATATAGTTAATTCCTAACACTACTTATTTTCTATAAAATAATCTGTCATATCGGTATACATATCCAGAAGGTAATATAAGTCCTTTAAATATTCCTTGTTTTGAGATGATAGAGTTTCATAACAAATCCATCTTTTTCGCATAGTTGAAAGAACAGGATCAGAAGATAGAAGTAAACTATTAAAAATATCTTCATTCTGTGATTGCCTGGAGCATTTTCTTGAGCTGAATAGTTGAACATGCTTAAAATCTCGATTCCTCGCTTCCTGGGCTTCTTCTGTTAACTCTCCAAGTGGAAGAATATTCGATTCAATTATTATTTGACCATGACACAATACTTTGTGTACTGTTGGTGTTAGTTCCCTCCATGGATACAGAGATACAAGTAATTTAGAAATTTCAGATGTGTATTCCCCAAATCGATTTTCATTAATTTTATGTTTACTATTCAGTGCCATTAAAATAGTTTTAACTCTTCGAAGCAACTCCTTGTCGATTCCAGTTATTTTTGAAGTAATTTCAAAATCACGAAAAAACCTTCTCGACGTATTACCGTCATTTGTACTACCGCAACTTGAAAGTGGTTTGTCGATGTTTAATCCCATCTGAACTTTAAATTCTTCTTGGAATATGCTTTTTTCCGCAGCTCTCAGTTCTTTCAATTCTTCATTATTTTTTGTTGATTTAGTAGGATAGTTTGTTTTTTTTTCCTGGATCGCCTTGTATGATGGTAATATATTGTGTCCTTTTTCATGCAGAGCTTTCCTTAATATTTGGTACTTATTTCGACTGAGACCCAGTTCCAACATAAGCGCTATTGCTTCCTCTTCAGTAAAATTTGATTATGATGTTGGAGTTGGTATACTTTCCACAATTCGCTTAAGTCGTTTTGGTGATGCATTAGGAAGAATAGTTGCAATATGTACGACATCCATATGTTGGTTTTCCTTTTTCAGCATTTCGTTAAATGTATCAGCAATTTCCTCATTTGAGATTGAAAAAAGTTTTTGTGTGACCCTCTTTTTTTTTACCTTGAACATAAGTCTTCGTATGACTTGCAAGGCGCTCCTGTTGATGTGTTGTAAGTTGAGATTTCCGTAGTAATTTCCATCCAACTACAAAATTTTAATCGAAATTTCTTTTGATTTCCATCCACAGACTTACTTTTTACATCAAAAAGTTTTAAAAAGTTTTCAATTTTTGATATGCCTGTTTTGTCTACTTTTCTACTATATGTAGTTTTTATATAATTTGAAATGTCTTCAATTCTTTCTGGCCCTTTTGAAGATATACTCCATAAAACGGAACACAACTCTTCGTACTTTAATGTAATCTTCATTGTAGATTTATTAAATATGGTACTTAAAATCTGAGAAGTTTACTTATATACCAATTCTTGTCATTTCCGATACAGCTATTCCAAAGTAAAAAATTACGAATTGTCTACCTATTAACATTTAGGACTATATTACTATAACCTGTAATTCAGTCATTGATATTTCTTATTAGTGAATGAATCGAAATTATCATTACCTGTATATTTTTACCTACATGATCATAAACGAAACAGAACGAAATGATCTGTCGAAAAAATTTAGGTAAAAAATGGTTATAAATTTTTGAAAATTCAAGCATAATAGGACCTTTCAATTATAAGGATAAGCAAACAAATAGAAAATAGGTAAATATAAGATTTAAATATGTGCTGTCATACTTAATACTAAAATATGAAAAAGATGAAATTAAAGGACACAGGTTTAAATGAACATATTTTTGAATGTAATTGAGATATTGGCTTGAAATTTTTTGTAAAGGGTCGAGAATTTCCATATCTAACTAAAAAATGATATTAAGGGATAAATATGGACTAAATTGTTGTAGCTATCTGCGATTCTATTAAAATTTTGATATAAATCATAGTTTTAGAAATTAAACAAATATGTAATATATGACAAAATCTTTATTTATGAACAAAACTCAATGAAATTTTCAACGCTTGTTAAATTTGTCATTTCAAATAAGAATATGCAAAAAAAAAATTGAAAAGGTCAAAGGGCATCCCACAATTCCCAAAAATAGGAATGAAAATCCCTTTTTTGCCCATAGGGTCCACATTTCTTTCAGGGCTGGGAAAATACTTTTGGAGTAAATAGAAAACATATTGAGGTTTCCAAAACTGCTTTCAGTTTTCTGATCCCAGCTTTGGGATTTTAGAACATGTCGCCCAAAGTTGAAGTTTTGATAAAAAATAGGTCATATTCGGAAGGACGCAGTGGCAACATTTTCAAAAAATAGGACAAGTTTTTTACGCCAAAGCGTTCTGCGTAAAGATACCTTTTAGAAAACTATAAAATTATTATATGTTCTTAATACAAATTTTATTTTATTAATAAAAGAGTTAAGACACATTTTTGGCAAAAAAAACGCCAAAAATCTAAAATTTTTTGAATTTTTAAATTAAAAAACGTATATTTTTGGATCTGTAAACGATATTGATCTGAAATTTTTTGTATATTATTGAAAATTTTGTTGTCTAACTAACAAGAAAAAAATTGAGTCCATTTGGTCCAAAATTACGCCCGGTATTCAAAAAAAGGCGGATCAAGGTATGGTAAATTTTGTATCACTAAATTTTTAAATGCCT